AACCTTATCAACCAAATAGATAACAACTTTTTTAAGAGATTAAACTTGGCTCTTGTTAATTATCATCGCATAATACGGGCGAATTGGGAATTAGCGATGTCTTAAGGTGAAGGAAAACTTGCTATCATTGATTGAGAAAATAATCATTGGGATGAAAACTTTGACACTTATATTGCTTTTAGTTATAATCGTTGTTTCAATGACTATTTGCAAGCTATGTTATTATAAGTCTCATCTCATTGCATAGGCCAATTGTTTGGTCAATATTTCTTCATAACATAATTGGTATACCAAGCTTTAATGCAAGGTTATGAGAAGGCACATCGTTGAATTCCAACTAGTTTATGAATTTCATTGGGTATAAAAGATCAAGATTTTTTGAATCTAAACCCCGAGCTACGTATGGAATCAATGCTCAAGTATATTTTGTTTTTCACTAGGCGAGTGTTCAAGCACGAAGCTATTGATCTCTCTAACCACACTGTTTTTAGGTGTGATGATGGCCCTCTCTTTAAAGTATTCGTCAATGTCAAATGAACTATTAAGATTTGGATAAATTACTTTAATGATGGTTTCAATTGAATTTCCTTCAACATCAATAAAAAAACTCATCGAGAATTTTCATAAACGAAACATAGTCATCGCCGAATAAAACAGAGTTTGACACCGTCCCTTTGTCGATCCTTAGAATCCAATCAACAAATGTTTGTAAAGTAGTTTTTTACTTCAAAACCAATATCCGAAAGCCTCGTGTTTATTTTTGGAGTGAAAATTATGAATTTAGGCCAAATAAAATAACTACTTAGGAAAGCTCGGACGACATCCTCTCTTGTTCCATTGGGCACAACAGGTAGAATTTGATGAAATTCACCACCTAATAAAAGTGTTTTCCCACCAAATGCCCTTTCTTGTAGGTCGTTGTTCGAACCACCAAGAACATCCCTAAGTGTTCTATCAAATGCTTTGAAATGAAGGAATTGAAGAAAGATAAAAGTAGAAGAAAGAAAAGACCTTCAAAAATCAAATAAGCAACAATAACTAAGGCATGAGAAGAAAAGGAATACAACAAACAAGACGCAAGTAACATATAGAGATAAAGCACCAATGAAAAAAAGACGAATGAAAAGGAAGAACCAAGAAAAACAAAGCATAACGAACGAAAGAAAATAAAAAAAGGAGCAACATCAAGTATATACAAAGGCAACCATAAGGCGAGACACAAGATCTAAAAATAGAAAAGAAAGCCATAAACATGAAACAAATAAACAAACCTAACATAAAAAATAAAGAATTTTGCAAGAAAAGAGGCACCATGAATAGCAATAAATAAAATAAAAAGCAAAGAAAACATAACAAACACTATCAATAGAGGATAATTAAACACAAAAGAGGCAAAAACCGAGAAAGCAAACAACGGATGAAAGCATTGTCAAATAAAAATGTAAGAAAAGGCAAGGGAATACAAAGTGAAAGGAAAAGCAAAAAGGAGAAATAATTACCAACCGACACTGAAGGGGAGGAAATCAAAACATAAGTGGAAAATGGAGGAGAAAAAACTATATGAAGAGAGGGTACAAAAAAAATAAATGGTCACGTATCAAAAATCGAGGCCTAAAGAAAGCAAGAAAATTAATTTAATCAAAGCTTTATCGAAGCAAGTCTTATCGATAGGTGAAAAAAAACATTTAAATAGATAAAAGGGAAAAATAATTAGATTAGATATGAATAAAAGACTTATTTGGTCAAAATTGAATCGGAGAGGAAATAGAAAAGCAGACTAAGAGGCGAGGCATCCTAGCAATCACGAAAAGGTATGGCAAATAAAAAAACCAATTCCAAGGACAAAAGAGCACGTAAAGAGCAAAATAAAGAAAAGGGAAATCCAATATCGAGTCGATGGGAATAGACAGATCCCGAAATGCCCAAGACCCCCAAACAATAACCACGGACAAAAAAGAAGAAACAGGATGGGAAAACATAAACCAAAAAGACACCGAGACTGAAAGAAATGAAAGGGACAACAATTAAAAATAGTTGGAATGACGTTAGATCCGAGAAGGCACTTATGAGTTCCCGTAAGTTGAGAGGCAAGATACGAAAAATAAAATGTAAATCAATTGATTTTGAAGGACCATGATAGTGGGCATGTAATGCTTTGTGAGCCACCCAAATAGAGGAAACAAGCCCAAGAAAGACTTAAAGAAAACCAAGAGAAGAGGGCGGAAAAGCAACCTCACAAAGGTAAAAAACCAAAATAGCTAAAGAAAACTAAGAAGAGAGGGTAGAAATGCAAGCTAACAACGAACATCAAATGACAAACTCGAAATTAAGCAGACAACTAAAGGGCTTATATTGAGAAGAGAAATAAACCCAAGCGAAGCATGAGGAAGAAGGGCCGTAAATGAATGGCAAACGAGAGCAAGTAGGGAACCGAATGGATGACCGAGAGGAACTACAAAGCAGAGCACGGTGAAAACAATTTATATCTACGAGTGTTTTGTGTGATGATAAACAATTGGTGAACGAGTCTCACTCCCACGTCTTTTAAAGTCTTTTTCTAATATGAAAATGTCATGTCATTTTGTCGATGCCATGACAAAGGCTATGCCTTTATCACCGACCTCATCATCCACATCAAGGCTCGAATTCAACGATATTGTTTGTAAATTAATGTTCGAACATTATCTAACTCTAATATATGAATTAAAAGTACTATTCATATGCAACACTTAAAATTACATCTTGATAGCTACAACTACCAAGCATAATTGATTTCACTCTTCTAAAAGACTAACAACAAACATCAAATCAATTACATATGAATTACTATTTTATAATAGATATAAAACACACATTGCACACAAATAATAAATGATGGTTATGATAAATTATTGTATCATCCAATCACTCTATCATCTTCATCGTGACCATTACTTCAACATCATCATCTCGTTCTTCTTTTTATTTTCTAATCCATCACCTCCATCCCATCACCGCAACGCATTACTATAATTTCACTATTATCATATATTTTATTTATTTATTATTATTTATCAAACATTGTAAATTTTATTTTCATTTCTAAAATAATTTATGCAAAACAAAAGACCGGGACTATTAAACAGTAAAAAATAACTTTAAAAAAGGATTTTAAGCCTACATAAATGATGGAGACCACCGGACTCTACTTCTTTCATTAATAACACCGTAAACTTGTAGTTTCATTGACACTCATATAATGTCATCTCTCTCCGAAAAATCTCAGTCCAAGCCTCTGATTTGTCATCAATGAAAAAAAAAAAAAAATCTCTCATGGTTAAAAATAAATTCTAGCTGCAAAAAAATAAAAAACTCATTAGTATCAAACTCCAAAATTGTTCGAGTTGCTGTACCCTGCTAGCTGAACTCCCACAACCCGCAAGAAGGCAAAGAGTATTATATGCTCCTATGTAGGTCCATGGGCCTCCAAGGATGCTTAGGTTCTACTGATCTAAATTTTGTATTGAGCTAAAACTGTCGGGCAAACCACCTAACACAGAAGACTGGTTTGATACACGTCGGAGACTATCCTCTAAGAGCCTCGTCCAGCTCCCGTCCTGTTCAGGTGTCATTCTCTGACTTTCCTTGGGCAACTGCAACGTGGGCTTTGAACTCTATAACTTACCATTTGTTGGTTTGAATTATGTTGGCTTTTACAGGATTGATAAGCTTACTTGTCTTTTCATTTTGTCCTTAGGAGACCTTTTACCATCTCGTGATCAAATTATTCATATTACCATCGCTTTACTAATCATGGATGAGGTGAATTTGATCAAATTAGAACATTCAATTCAATCAAATTAAATGATATCGCATATCTATGGATTTGGTGAAATTGCCAATCCTATCTTGAATCTTGATGAGTTCCAACCAGTACAGCCGATATGAACCCGTAAATTGGAAAAAGAAAAAAAGCGCAACAAAACAGTCGTACAAAGTGGTATCAAGAGAGAGTTTTTTCAAGGACTAAGAATCAAGCAGCAGAAGAGAGTTGATAATGACTAGTGACTGGCTCGTGCAAAAATAAAAGGAAGAGAGATGACCACAAGAAGAGTCGGTCTCTCAATTATTTATCTACCAAGAAGACATGGTTTGAAGCTGCACCACACTTGTTGAATCCTGCTGATAACTTTATCCCTTTGTATTAAATAAATATAACATAAGTCCAAAAATAATCCAAATTTCAGTGGCTCTGGGGCTGCCAGAATTGGGTTCATGTGCTGCCACATAATCATAACTATATATACCCTCAGATTTGTTGCTGACACAGAAAGGGCAAAAATTCTTCACTTGGGCGTACAGAACAGCCCAAACAGAAAACACACACGTGAGTGAGTCTCCGTTCCAACCCCAGCCAGGTAACTAAACTATTTGGTGTTTTATTTATTTATTTAATCTAAGGAAATTTTGATCTTTTTGAGGAAGTTCTTACTGGAAATGAATTCAATCGTTGACCTATTTCACCTTCAAAATTCATATAGTTGTTGTTTGGTTTGGTTTGGTTTTAAATTGATTATTTTTGTTTGGCAAAACAACAGTGTACTTCTTTTGGAGTTTTGCCCTGTTTCACTGATTCGCATGCGTCACCATTGTAATTTGGTTTTTTTCTGTTCTTGCTTAATCTTGGGTTTGATTTTTTATTTTTCTTTTTGTCTTTTTGAAGTTGTGTTGATACGTTCTTTGTATAATTCTAAAATCTGAAATTTCTGACGCATTTCTTATATAATTTTTCATTGGTTGCTGTAATTCCTTGTCAAAATTCATAGGTGGAAATGTTATGGTTAGATGAAAATCTGAAAGTTGGGTAATTTTCTTATGATTGGAGAGCAGGATGGCATGTTGGAGTTTCATTTCATGCTTTGTTTTCATTCTAATATTTTCTGACGAAAATTGCTGACTGGGAACTGAGTTTGCTGTCTTGCTTGATTTTTCAGATCGAGTAAGAAGGTAGACTAACCATCATGGCACCTAAAGCATTAGACTATGATTCGTTGAATGAAAATGTCAAGAAGGTTCAGTATGCTGTTAGAGGCGAGTTGTATCTTCGAGCTTCTGAGCTTCAGAAGGAAGGGAAGAAGGTACATATGTGTGTGTGTGTATATATATATGTCTAGTCTGCTCCAGTTTTCTCAGAAATATTGTTGTTTCTTAATTTTGCTTATGACTTTATGTGGATTTGAAGTTAATAAAATCTGTTGAATTTCTACTGAATTTATGTGAAAGAAACAACCAGCGATTTTTACTTGATTTTGCATACTCTCAATTTTGATCTGCTGACTATTTTTTATTACTAGCACTGCCGTTATTGCTTCTACTTTTTGGTTGGTTATTCAGTGTCTTCCGAGTGTTCATATGTGTCGCTGCCAATTCCTTTGTTGGATGTACCTCTTATTTGTGTTCTATTTTTTTTTCCTTCTTCTTTTGAATTCATGAAGGACTTTGTCAAATGTTGTAACACGCACTTTTCATTAGATGGAGGCTTTCTCTATCTTCAAATGTGAGAATCTAGTCCTATATGAGACTCGTACTCAATTATATTTTGTATTCAATATAATTTGTTTATTAAAGTGGAGCATGTTTTCGCATATCATGTACTTGCATATTTTGTAGCACAGCCATGAGCCATGCAATAGCAATTAATCCTTCACAACTTTGCAATCAATGACACTCTTGAATGTTAGACCTTCTATTATTATTCTAATGTCTTAACATATTGCTTTATGAATAAAATCTTACATTATATGTGATTTACTTGTAAAACCATGAGAAGACGTCTGTATTTTGGCTTTAAATCGGCCAGTGCAAAACATTGGTTTTATTTATTTTATTTTTGTATTACATGCCATTATCCTTTGCATATTTCTCTGAGTTCATTGCTTGAAATTTATTCCGTAGATTATTTTCACAAATGTCGGCAATCCTCATGCCCTTGGACAGAAGCCACTTACCTTTCCTCGCCAGGTAAAGTTACAGTATCTTAAATTCTGTGTATTTAACTCGTGAATTTACTGCTCAAATGAACCGTTTTGAGTTGCTTATGCATTCTTGTCTACATAGTCGAGTTGAACTGTGGAAAGTTCTATTGCAGGTGATTGCTCTCTGCCAAGCTCCATTTCTGCTAGATGATCCAAATGTAGGGTTGCTATTCCCTGCGGATGCGATTGCAAGAGCTAAACATTATCTTGCTATGACTTCTGGTGGTCTAGGTATCTTCTTTTAACCTACCTTTTTCTTACATAAGTTTTGGAAAAGGGTTGAAACATCCAAAGTAACTGTATCAAGTATTTGGGGGCATCATGCGTATCCATGGGTGGTTTATGGAGGGTTATTAAATCAAACAAGTGAAACATTAAAAAAAGTTTCTTAGCTGGTAGTATTCTAGACGCTTCACCTTATGCTGACTCAACAATTGTCTTTCCTAAATGTTTTTTTCAATATTGCGCTGCTGAAGTCTAGCTATTTAAAGAGTAGTTCAACTGTGATAGCAGCCATAAGAACCTGCAATGCAAATTAAAGTTACTCTTGTTTATATGTTTAGGTGCTTACAGTGACTCCCGAGGTATGCCAGGAGTTAGAAAGGAGGTAGCAAATTTCATTGAAAGGCGTGATGGATATCCAAGGTGATGTTATTATATTCGATGGTTATTTTCTGCTCCTCTATCTTTCTGTGTGTGGTTGTGTTTTGAATAAATAGTTGTCTTTTGGTCTGAAAGTGGTAAGCCGAAGTTCACTTTGCTGCTCGCTTTGTTGACAGTGACCCAGAAGTCATATTTCTCACTGATGGTGCCAGCAAAGGTGTTATGCAGATCTTGAATACTATTATCCGTGGTGAAGGTGATGGGGTAAGTATACTTCCCTGAAATAAAATGAATGGAAATACTACCATCGCCCTCTTTGATTGAACATAGGCTTCTTCTTCTACACCTTTTCCCAGTCCCTTCTTTCTTATTGGTGATGATAGAGGTTTTCTTTATCTTAGTGCTATTATAGTACCATTTGCCCAATAATGCTTGTTAATACAAAAAAATTGGCGTATTTGTCAGGTTTTGGTTCCAGTCCCACAATACCCACTTTACTCTGCTGCAATTTCTCTATTTGGCGGTTCCCTTGTTCCATATTATCTAGAAGAGACGGCAAACTGGGGTCTTGATGTTAATCAACTGAGACAGTCAGTTGCACAAGCTCACTCTAAAGGAATAACTGTTAGTATGCTTGACTTTTCCTTGTATATATGCAATTGCTTGATATCTACTTGGAAATTGGAACCTAAGAAGTTAAATGAAAACTTGAAGAACAGAATGGATAGGGTACTGATCTTAACTGTCCAGATTTTAGTTGTATTGGCCAGTTATTTGAACAATTACTCTCTGAAATTCTATTTATTTGTGAAGATTGGTTTGTTGTCCTCTTCCATTTGAATATTATATGTGCATGCATTAGCTGCTAACATATCTTGTAATGCTTACTGCCGCAAACTAAATCTCTAATATGTTTGATATATGATCAGGTAAGAGCAATGGTGATTATTAACCCAGGCAACCCCACTGGTCAGTGTCTCAGCGAAGCTAACTTAAGGGAAATATTGCACTACTGTTACCAAGAAAACCTGGTCCTTCTTGGAGATGAAGTTTATCAGCAGAACATTTACCAGGATGAGCGTCCATTTATTAGTGCTAGAAAGGTAATCATTGTTTTGCCACTAAATTCAAGTATTTGTTACCTGGAGTTACAGCTGGTATTGATAATATTTTTTGTTTCAACTTTGGAAGGTTTTGATGGGCATGGGGCCACCCGTGAGCAAGGAAGTTCAGCTTGTTTCTTTCCACACTGTGTCCAAAGGATATTTTGGGGAATGTGGGCAGCGGGGTGGATACTTTGAGATGACCAACATTCCTCCTAAGGTTTGCTTTTTATCAAATAGATATTCACGTCCTGCTTGAGTTGCAAGCTATGTATTTCTTGCAAATATTAATTTAAGCATTGGTAACCAAACCGAATTTAAAACGAACTATGGAACAAATATAAAAGTTACAGAAAGGTAGGCAAATAATAATAACAAAAAAAAGATGAGGTTAACTAGAATTCTCTTAGCTTATGTCATTTCATTTGATTAACAAATTCATTACAGAATTGAGCTGCCTTATTCTATCATGTGATAAAAAAGATTTCTTTTTTGATCATAATTGTTCATTGTTTTTAATCTCATGTATTTTGTGACCTGTAATATGGAAATAAAACATAAGAAGGATCTTTCCATTCCAGCAGTATTTGAACTGCAACATTCAAAAGTCGTCTTTGTTTATGATGATTTATGCTGCAGACTGTTGATGAGATTTATAAGGTTGCATCAGTATCACTCAGTCCAAATGTCCCTGCACAGATATTTGTAAGTAGACCTGCATGCCTTCTGTTGAGTTAATTGTATCTATTTAACTGGGAGCTCCAGTGCTTGTTTCTCGTTATTATTTCCGTTAAAAAACTCTACCTGTTGACAGATGGGGCTGATGGTCAACCCGCTTAAACCTGGAGATCTTTCATATGAGCAGTTCATTAGGGAAAGGTACGCCTGCTAAGATTTAGTTTCTAAGGAGTCAATTCAGTATTCTTGATAATAAATGAAATGGAACCAAGGACATTCCCTTTGATTTAGTACTACGCTAAACTGTCAATCTGATTTCCAGACAAGTTAATGGATGTTAATGTACATTGTCAATTCAAATAATTGCCTGCTTTGAGCAGGGAATGACTGTGTTTTATGATTAAAACAATGCAGCAAAGGAATCATTGAATCCTTGAGGAGAAGAGCAAGGATGATGACTGATGGATTCAACAGTTGCAAAAATGTGATATGCAATTTCACAGAAGGTAAATTGTTGTTTCTTAGCTGTATTAACGTCTTGGTTTTTGTGATCTCACTCACAATCTATTCTTGGCCATTATATGACATTGTAGAATTTGGTTTTAGGTGCCATGTATTCATTTCCTCAAATAAGACTTCCACCTAAAGCAATAGAGGCTGCCAAAAAGGCTGGAAAGGTTCCTGATGTTTTCTACTGTCTTAAGCTTTTGGAAGCCACTGGCATTTCCACAGTCCCTGGTTCAGGATTTGGACAAAAAGAAGGGTAAATGCTGATTATTTTATTTTGATTTAGCTTAGCTAAATGCTAATTTCCTATTGCATTCTTTCTAATGGTTCTACAGGGCTTGTAACACACAAGCACAAGCATGCAGCGCACAGACATAAATTAAACAAAACAATAGAGAACTGTCTTTAAAAAGTTTTGCCAATTCTGGTTTATCTTGGCTATGTTTCTCTTCTTGCAGATTGAACTCCTGCCACGCACTCTTTTTCTTTTTTTTTTACATTCACATTTCAATTTGAACCATGTATTTTTAAAAACATGACGTGTATGCATCTGACAGGGATATTGGGAATTCTTTTTTTTTTTTTTTAAATGGCTTCTCTGTTTTTGTTTCTGAAGGGGGTTTTGCATTTTTCTTCCGTTTTGGCCTTTATTTTGTGGGTGTGCACAAGCACATCTCTAGACGAGTCTGTTTCTGAACTGTAATCAAATGCTGGTGGTTGATTGTTATGCTTTCTTGTAGGGTCTTCCATCTAAGGACAACCATTTTACCGGCGGAGGAAGAAATGCCGGAAATCATGAGCAGTTTCAAGAAGTTCAACGATGAGTTCATGGAGCAATATGATGACCACAGTGGTTATTCAAGGTTGTAAGAAATACTTCAAATTCTGCAACTTGTATCATGATATAATTGGGCAATTGCAAGCCGTTTGGTGTATGCTTCCTTGAATTGCCTGTATTTGAATATATAAACTAAATTCTGTTGAAGATTCATTCTGCTGCTAATATCACGCACGTATCAATATTCTGTATGAATGGCTGCTTAATCTAGCGTGTAATGTTGTCGTTCATAAAGGTGAAGGAAGCTGAAGCTTCACTCAGTTTCTCAAAGAAATGATTGCCAATGGACCTAAGCACCTTATAAAATAAAACCATTAGCTGCCCTGGAATTTAAGCCTTTCGTGATTCTTATCCGTTCTGTGTTTAACATAAATTCAGTCCTCGCTTTTTGTGTGCTCCTCGCAAATAAGGCCTACAACCTTCCCTAAGGGCTTGCCTTAGAACCGTCAATTTGAACCGCCTTCTTTAAATTAGATGAAATCTACCATCTAGCTCTGCAACAGTGCCACGCATTAATAACGCAATTCCCTCCATTAATTAATATTAATTATTAAATGTTAAAAAAAATCTAAAAGAGATGGGTTTTTACTATTTAAGTCATTATTCACTCACATTTATATTAATTATTCATGTCGCATTGTTGTAATTTTTTGTGTGCATTATTCATTTGATATTGTTTTAATTTTGGCTATTTGTTAGTGAATTTGTGATGATTTTGTTGTGGTTTTTTTTTTTAATTTCAGTCATTTGATATGAAATTTTAACAAATATTATAATTTGATGTTTTATTTTTTCTAAAATTTTTATTTTGGTTCCTAATGTTATTTATATCGAGGTTTGGTTTTTGGATGAAAAGAGAGACGAAGAGAAAAAAGGCAATGACAAAACTTATTTCAATGACTTTGGCTATTGGTTTTGGTTTTAATTTGTTCACCTTGAAGAGAAGAATTTGTTTATAATGGTTCAAAATCATGAAATGGTCAAAAGAAGAAATACCCTAAAATATTCACTTGAATTTGATTTAGATTTTTGAATAAGAAATTTTTTTAGTTTTTGAGTTATAATTAAAAGTTGGTGATAAAAAAAAGATAAATTATTGTATTTATGAAGTCTATGCACGGGAATTGTATGACTTAGAAACAAAAATATCTATTAAGAAGGGGGAAAAAAGTAATCCATGTAACATTTATTTATTTATTTTTTAAAAAAAGATATTTTAAAAACAATTCATTTCAATAAAATAATTAAAATTATGTTTAAAAAAAAAAACAAAAGATGATACCTGATGTGTGTCGAACCCAACCAAAACTAATTTATCTTCTTGTTTCTAAAATATAGATAGGATGAGTGAATATGGAATCCACATGGACTAATTAATCAAATCACATAAAGGAAAAATGGGGTTTTGTTTCGCAAATACTTAACACAAGAATGACTTATAAATAAATAGAATTACACAACTAAAAATTTGACCAAGATGATATTGATTCAAGGGGAATTTATCATGATAGCAAATTGATCATTGACATCATATATACATATAGTCTCTACTCAAACAATTAACCAAAGATTTACATACAAGTCAAGTAAACCCTAAATCTTTTCTACATTTATTAATTCAAGTTCAGCACCTAAAGTAATTACTTATTACTTATTGATTCGATATCAAGCAATCCTCTTCGGATTAGTAATAGAATTATGTTCTAGGAAAAGCTAATGATGAATAACAAAATTACCCGAGCATAACTTATTTAATACATTCTCTATTTTCCGTAAACAAACAACAAAAACTTGGATCGTAATTTGATTGCCTAAGTGCTAATCTAATCAAGTCCATAAGAATTACGAATTATTAACTCAATTTAGCATTAGATCCCGCAATGCAATTAATTAATATGCATTTCAATCAATAGAATCGTTCAATCATAAACAAATAAAATCAAGAAACAAAGATGTTTGAATAGAAGAGAAAATTCAATTAAAATTATTGTGTCACAATTTGTACTAATCGATTAAATTCCCTTAAATCAATTATAAAAAATTTTCCACACATGAATGTAAAAATACGCAATATTATTTAGAGAATAAGCTAGAGGAAGATGAAGAAGAGAGGAGACATTTCCATCTCTATCAATCCTATTTATATTCTCAAAAGAGGGAAAACGTTTGGTGACTTGAAATTACTTCCTAGAAGTTAGGAAATTCGATTTCATGTTTTATGTTTTGTGTCGGATATGGACTAGGTACATGCCGAATTAGAGTTTTCTCTCTTCATGAAAGGTACGGACCAATCTCTTAGCTTTCCAACATATAAGCCTTGCATCAAACAAAGATTTACAACTTGATTTATGGGTTAAACACTACCACCGACTTAACCAATCTGTCCGGACTTAAAAATTCAACTTTGGAACTAAATCATTCTTTTAAACCGACTCAATTTGGACTCAAACCCACGATCGAATTGTACATATACTTCCAAACGTTTCTATGGGCTTGGCCATGCATCACTTGGAATTTAGAAACTTCGGATATGAATTAAAAGTTGGAACCGATCCGGATTTCAAATAGAATTCGGATTAACTTTCTAGAAAAAAATATAAAATGTCATTTGGAGGCATAAATGAGCTTGAATTTTGACCCACTATATCATTCGAAAATTTTGAGATGTCCTCTACCAAAACGTTGAAGATCACTTCTTCTAATTTTATTGTCAAAGCTACTAAAAACCTATAAAAGACTTAAAAATTCTAAGTTAAACATACTAGAATTTCCTAACTTTAAGCACAATTTATCCCAATTCCTAATTTTGTGTCTAAACATGAATATAAGCATTAGTTATTGTAATAATACATAAAATATAACAAATAAACTAAATATAAAGAGAATAAAGATATAATGTAATGTATCCATTAGTACCATGCTTTTCAAATAGAATTTTTTTATGCTAATATTATTTATTATTTTGAGAATATATATATATATATATATATATATGCATTTTAAAAAAATTAAACTTCTTATCAATATTATAAGACTCGTATTTGAAATTTAAAATTTTTATGTAATTTATTTTTTTAAATTAATTGTTGTTTTATTTTTTTATGCAATTTTATGAAATAAATAATTGAATTTTCACATATCCGTTTATCAATTTCTTGACTCTATATAGAATTCTTGTGCTTATTGTAGTTTAAAACTATATCATATAAGTCAAATTATCAATCAAACACAATTATAATGGTGTTTGATTTTTTTTTTTTTTTTTATCAAACAATATGGGGCTCATTCAACAAAGTTATCCTCTTGTCGTTGGATACATGCATGGTAGTCTTCATCAATTGTTACAATCTCGTAAGCTCATTTAGGTTAATCATGTATATGCATGGCATTGTTGCAATTTTTGTGCGCATTATTCACTTGGCATTGTTGTAATTTTGCCTACTTGTTCATGCATTTGTGATGATATAGTTGTGATTTTTAGTCTTTTTTTTATGTGTTTATGATGATATTATAGTTTTTTTTTTTTTCAAATTTCAGCCATTTGATATGAAATTTTAACAAATATTATACTTTGATGTTTTATTTTTTCTAAAATTTTTGTTTTGGTTTCTAATTTTATTTATATCGCAGTTTGGTTCCTAAATGTAGAGAGAGATAAAAAGAAACAAAAGTGATGACGGAGCTTATTTCAGCCACTTTGGCTACCAATCTTAGTTTCAATTTGTTGATCATCTTGAAGAAAAATGTTTGTTTATAATGCTTTCAAATCATGAAATGATCGAAAGAAAGAATACCCCAAAACATTCACTTGAATTTGATTTGGGTTTTTTAATAAGATTTTTTTTTTTTTTTAGTTTTTGAGTGACAATTAAAATTTAGAGGTAAAAACAATATTAATACATTGTTATATGTGTAAAGTTTATGCACAGAGACCAAGCTTCTATAACTTAAGAACAAATTAAAATATCTATTAAGAAGAAAAAAAGTAATCCACATAATATTTATTTAAAAAAAAAGATATTTTGAAATCAATTCCTCTTAAATAAAATAATTAAAATTATGTTTTTTTTAAAAAAAACACCATATGGTACCATACTTTTCACACACACACACACACACACACACACACATATATAACCTAATATGCATACTTTTAAAAATTAAACTTCTCATCAATATTATAAAAAAATTATTTTAAATTGAAATTTTTAATGTAATTTCTTAAAAAATTAATTATTGTTTTATTTTTTTCGATGCAATCTTATGAAATAAATAATTAAATTTTCACACACACACACACACACACACACACACACACACACACACACACACACACACACACACACATATCTTGAACTTATTTCGGTTTAGAACTATATTATATAAGTCAAATTATCAACCAAATGCAATTATAATGGAGTTTTATTTTTATTTTTGTTTGTCAAACAATATGCGACTCATTCAACTAGTACTCTATGAGTACCTACAAGAATATCATTTACAAACAAAAACAAAAACTTTATCCTTTTGTCATCAATTGTTACTATCTTGTAGTTGATTATAACACCATATAACCTCGAGTACCACTATTTGGGTGATTATTAAAGCCATATACTCGAAATGTTGAAGTTTATGCAACTTTGCTCTTGACCTTCAACCATGAAATCTATAGATTTATGTTGGGAATTTAATTTTATTTTGTTTAAATTAAATTTTGCAAGAAAATAATTAAACCAAACACAAACAAAAATTAAAAGCGAGCAATAAATCAAACACAAGGTTAAAATCACGATAACATTAAATTTAAGTGAAAAATCCTCTTTATTTTTGAGAAAATAATCACAAAACCAACTTCAAAATAATCTAATATAATCAAGAAAAAAATATAATTACTCAATTTTTTTGTAAACCTAAGAAACAAAAATATTGATAATAACACAAGTTACATAACTAGTTAAATTCATTTCACTATGAAAAAGCTTGAAAAGTATGAAATCTTTGTATTTCTACAAAGTTCAATATTGTGTGAAATCATTATCGATTTTTGCAAAGTCTAATACTGTGTGAGATCATTATCTTAAATACTCTACTTTTACATCTCTCTTGTCAATTATATGCCAATCAAAGACAATATGTGTGTGTGTGTGTGTGTTAAGTATCCCCAAAAACCAACAAAAAAAGGAAAATAAACTTTTCTTTTTCTTCATGTTACACATATGCATAAACATACATTTGATTTTTTTCTTTTTCTTTTTCAATTCTAGTTCTTTTTCTAATTTATTTTTCATGAGTTATACTAAAATCACTCATAAACTGAACTTTTAACATGTATCCAACAATTTTTGCATCCAACTCTCTCTCTCTCTCTCTCTCTCTCTCTCTCTCTCTCTCTCTCTCTCTATATATATATATATATATATATATATATATATATATGTCCATTTGATGTAACTCCAAATTAAAATGAGCTAAATAGTATGGATGAGGACAATTGAGGTAATGCGTACCATGAATGAATAAATTTTCTCATTATGTATATGTGTGTATCTATTTTGTCATCCGAAGAGTTTTCTATTTTTCTATGGATCCGTATGTCTTTCAATTTATTTTGAGAAACCATTAATTGTTTTCAATAGTTTTTATTCCTCATAACAAATCCATCAAAGCCTAAACTTGATCTTTCTTCATACATTGCATTTATTCTTTCATTTTTTTAGTTGGGCACGTTGGTTAATTGTTTATATTCAACTTCATCACATAAAGTTAGCATAAAAGTTCTTTTTCATCAACAAGTTGTTAGTTCAAGTAGTAAATAATTTGATCTATAAGCGAATTTCTTATCATTATGTAGAATTTTAATTTTAAAATCATAATCATTAGAAGAAGTTAAATTTTCTCATTTTTGTTCTGAACAAGATTAATTTTATCTCTAATATGGAATGATAGTTTTTGAAAAAAACTTTTTTTTAAAAAAAGCTCTCCTTTCAATCTCAAAATGGCAGCGATCCATAGATTCTTTGTTGAAAAATTCTCCCAACAATGGCTCTTCTAAAGCAACTTTATCAAATATCAAGTCACTTTTACTTGGTTCAATCATATTTTGCTTCTTTGGCGAATTGTACTGTCAAGATCATTCATCTCATGTAGATTTCAGATGGCCTTTATTAGGAAAGTCGTCCTTTTGGAACGTTGCATCTCGTGATTCCAATAAAATTGCATTTCCATATTCCTGTTCAATAATCAAAATATTCCATTTAGAGTGTTCTGAGTACCTTATAAAAATACATATTTCCATCTTCGACCTAATTCTCATGTTTATAAAAAGATCCATTAATGTGAACAAAAGCTATTGATCCTTAGGACTTGTATATATAGTACACAGGACAACACATTGTCAGTAGAAAGTGTTCTGTAAAATTATTTGTTATAGGCATAAGATAGGATAAAAGCATGTTTTTTTTTTTTTTTTTTTTTTTTTTTTTTTAAGTCCATGTGTTTTTGGGTTACCTAATAAAGATAGTCCTTTTTTATTACCTAATCATCAAAAAATTTAAAATTATTAAAATTCGAACTTTATTTTACTAGAAAAATTAATTGGATATATACAATCATTATGCGAAACAGTTTTTATTATGTTCTAGGTTTTGATTTTTATCCCATCATCCTTTTTAGGACAAATTTATGTTGCCTCACGAGACAAAAACTTATCTAAACATTATTTCCACAGTATCTATATACTAACTTTTCTTAAATTTGAAAATATTTTTTACTCTCAAACTCTTTCAGAGTTTGATTTTTTTTTTTTTTTCACATTTAAAGGTCTTTTCTACCGTTTAAAACCTAATTTACGTTCACATTTTGAGTTTTGAATAGCCATTTTTGAAACTGATTGTCTCCCTAATCAAATTAAAAGTATTGTATGTGGGGTTGATACGATCATAGAGCATACTATCTAAAACCACTAAGTTTTAATTCCAATCACGGAGGAATAAAGAGTCATATTATATCAAACACAAGTAGATCCGATTCAAGTGAAATTACCTAGACATATATAAATTAACTTGGTGCTTAGAAGTAACTATGGGATAAAATTCATGCCAATTGGTTCCCTCTACAAAGAGTTATATATATCCAACGTAAAAGAAGGAATAATGACCTGTTTAACAACATTATAAGCATCAAGACACTTTCAAGCAAAATTGACCGTTGAAATCCTGAAAATAACAAAAATGCTGATTGAAAAATAGAGCTTCAGTCCATCTTTATAAACTCCGAAACATGATAAATGTTCTTACGAATATGATGCCATGTTATTTATTATTATTTTTTTGGGAACAAATTATAATGTAATGTTGAATAATATGAAATTAAAATATATCAGCTAAGTCTAGCTATAAATAAGATCGTTAAACTCATCCAACGAAAAGGATCTCTAAGCACTTTTCTTTTACACCTATCTAACTTAAGCGTCAAGTCATCTTTCTAGAAGAGAGAGACCAAAATATTTCTTGCATGTTAACCTCGTTATCATCCATCTCAAATTTAGCTGAGTGATTGACATAGGAAGGATTTTGAAAGATCAGCGTCCCAATCTAATTCCCACCTCATCGAATTTTTTATATATATTCATTTTGACATTAACAACAACACAACAGCGACATCACAATCAAGAAAAGCAACATTTATTCTATAAAATGAAAAAGAAAATAGTTGAGTACAAGTATAAAAACAATAATAATAGATAAGTGACGTCCCATTCTAATTCTGTTCACAAGACATTGGGTGCAATAAAGGAAGGAATAACAGGGGGATTGATGAGTTGATTGTTGATCCCGATGTGATTGATGCCCGAGACCTTTGGCGCCAAAATCCAAGTCAGTCGATCCTTTTTAAGTTCTGCTGCTGCCCTGCCCAAGGTCAGCTTGTTTCACGGGCACTCCACTCCACTCCGCTCCACTCTCTTTCTTTCTGGTAAGTCTTCATTTAATTATTTTGGTATTAATTATTAATTAAATCTTAGATAAAATCAACTTATGTCACGAGCTTCGTTCCTCGGGTTCTCTTTCTTTCCTTTTTTTTTTTTTTTTTTTGTTAACGTCGAACCTTACTGATCTATATAGGCCAAAGGGTCTAGTCTTCTCCTCATTTAAAGCTTTTAGCTAACTACTAGTCTACATCTACATTAATTAATAACAAGACTCGCTGCTTCCTGTTCTTTTCTTACTTTCATTTATTCCTAGCTAGCTAGTAGCGCCCCTAGCTTCACAAAGACTCTTTCTTAGGAATTTTAACCAAATCTCCCTTTTCATTTGCCCTTTACAACTTTTCTTTCTGTAATTAGCTTTCCTTCTGGTTTCATTTGATTCTCTGCCAATCCCTACAAAAGTCTCAAAACCTCTCTTCTTTATTTATTCTCTGTGTGCTTGCAAGCTTTATTCCTTATTCCTTACCTAGCTAGCTCCTCCTATAATATTGGTTTGTCATAGTTTTGGATCCAAAACATAACATGGGGTTCTCAGAGAAGCCTCAAGTTGTGGATGGTGGCTTGGACAATTTAGATGGTAATAAAAGATGGATTATTGCTGGAATTCCTTTGAGAGCTCCTTTAAAGCCCATATATACAAATCCAGTGGAGAAAGAGATCAACGAAAGTGACGAGGATGATCAGAACAACTGCAGCACTACTTCAACAACGCCTACTGGTGAAGAAGCTAGAATTCCTTCCAGATTGGTGTGCCCTCCGGCTCCCAGGAAGCGAAAAGCTACTTTCAAGTGTAATTATAATAGTGGTGTTAGGGAGTTTTTACTCCTCCTGACTTGGAAACCCTTTTTATACAAAGGGCAAACTGATCATTTATTCATTTCTTCCAAGTTTAGTTTGCCTCCTGTACTGATCATGATTTGCTTCTTTTAATTTCCTTGTTTGATCGACTTAGTTCTTAGCTTCTAGCAGGAGGATCTTAATTATTGTTTGTACAGGTTGTATAAGTAATTAAATAAAATCATTTCTGGAATTATAACTGATATGTTTTGTCTTTGTTAATTACTCATTAAAAAAAACCTCTCTGCCTAGCTTTGCTCCTTGTATAATACCATACGTGCTTATATGTTTAACTAATTAAGTTGTTTTCTTCTTCTTCTTCTTCTTCTTGTGTGTTTTTTCGATTCCATGTTGAAAAATGGATAAACTTTCATTCTTTTTTCCAGTACTGCAAATATCGTTAAAAAGAGTAACTTAATTAAATGGATTTATTTTACAACCATGTTTGAAGAGAAACATGGTAACCAACTAATAGTTCTTAAATTCTGATCTGATCTCTTCGTCTTGGGTTTTCCAGTTAATTAAAAAACATGGCTATGATTTCATACTTTTCGGTTATCTGTTTTAACTCGAAATTTGTTAAGGAAAAACTCATTCATAGTTTCATTTTTTTTTTTTTTTATCATGTTCTTCTGACACAAGCACACATCTTTCCGTCTTGCTATATGGGACTATTCATGCTCATGCGGAGCAAATGACACATGCAAGTCAACATCTAAGCAATTAAGCTAGTAGCCAAAAATTGTCAAAATGCAAGCAAAGGTAAATCCTTTTCAAAGATAAGAAGATGCTGCACGGATGATGCTTCATGGCTTGTATTGACTGAGACACGTCCCCTCAACCCTACTACCGTCTAGACCCACAATCAATCAAACCTCTTTTGGGTACTCTTAATTTGCTACAGGTCATCCATCCTTGTTTACGTTTAAACTTAAGTGTCTTTAGTCTTTCTATGACCCACCCCACCCACCTCGGACTCTCACGATAGTGGGACTGCCCGGGAAGGTTCTCTCTATAGTGCTTTCTCCGATATAACCCGTTAAAAAGGACAAATAACATGTGGACTGGTAGATTAGAATCCTATGCCAGTTGAATGGACCTTATTTAAAATTCTCATGTTCAAGTTTGGCATACCATACCAATAATTGACAAAGCCACTTACAAACATATATATATATATATAATCTTATCTAATCCTAGTAATCAATGGACAAACCAATTGTTTATTGGTAGAGAATATTAATGTTCATTATGAAAGCAAAGCATATATAATTAATATCAGGCGAGTTAAGTGCACTTAATCTTTTGGTGTATATTTAGTTCCATTAAAGAAAGCTTTCTCGGGATCGGAGCCGTTGCTTCAGGCAATGGATTTGCACCACGTCTGCGCAAAAGCTGCGAGTCTTACTTGGCAGCTACCTTCTTGTCATTTTGGTTTAGATCACTCGTCATGGGTAAACTTCATTTTTTGCACTTAAAGAATTCTAATCTACCCCACTGTACGGTAAGATTGAGAAATTTCCCAATATTCCACTTCTATCCATATACTTTCAAAAAAATTTATGTTCTAGCTTCCAAAAGAAAAAAATTCTATTATTATCTCTAATTATTAAATAGCTTATTTTTAGAAACCAATAACTTAGTGGTATAGTAATAAATCAGCTGGCTTTCAAATAATTTTTTTTGTTAATACAAAATTAATCTTATCTTCAAAGTGGAACGAATATATATTAAGAAAAAAATTAAATTTTGGTTTTAAGTTTTAATTTTTAGGTTTTGAAATTTTCTTGTGAGGTATTATAAGAATTGAGAGGAAAATTGGGAGAAAGTACAAAAAAATAAAATACAAACATGGAAAATGCTGATTTTTTGTTGGCTATTTAGTATCAATAAATAAACTATAACATCAAAATTTTTAGGATAACATTGAGAAATTTTAAAGCATATATAGGAGTGAATGTGGAATATTGATAATCTATGAGTACAAAATGATCATCTATCCTTATTATTGCTTTGTTAAGTGGGAGCACAGTAGCATTATTGGAGACCACATGAAGCGTCAAGGACTATCATATGTGCTTGAAAATTAGTGTAAGCTGCTTATTAATTAGTACTCAACTCCCGACAAGTTTTGTATTTTATCGCTAAAGATGACAAGGGAGCAAAAGTATTTTTAAATCGATGCATGACACGAATTTTGCAAGCAAGGCATATGCACAGGGATCGATTTTGGAACTTTGGATTTGGTGTTATTTATTGAGCCACATATTATATTATTCTTGTAACGAGTTATCCTTTGATTGGCATTTTACTGTTTTCCCAGTAAAATTACTTGAGTTTCACCTGGTCTGATGTTGGGATCGATCCCCAAATTAAAAACCATGCACAATATAGTTTCCTGCATCAAACAGAAGAGAGAGGCTATATTTTCAAGGAGTCGTAATTAATCATGTTTTCTTACCTAAATGATCAGTACTTATATATATATATATATATATATATATATATAACTTGAACTAAAGATCTCTTCATGATCTTGATGGAAAAGAAACACCAATAATCATAGCCTACGGGTTCATCGACAAATGGTCATTATTTTAATCTAAGTAATTAAGCGATACCTGTAGAAGAACCTGGCCACATGCACGCCTATTTAGAAGCAGAACAGATGTGATATCTTCACAAGTCATTTAATCAGAAAGCTAGAAGAACGCTACACGGTAATTTAGTTCCATAAATAGTGAATAAAACTATAAATAACTATATCCGATTTCATTCCAATGCACTCAATGCATGTAATGTTGTAAGCCTTGGGATTTTCGTGTGAGAAGACCGTAGTTTGATCAAAATAGAAAGCACGCAATATTCTCTCGTGGATTGGTAATTTAAGCGAGCAGTGTCTCCCCAAACCATTCATTTTGGTTTTGATCACTTATGATTTGTGTCGGTATAGTAGCATTTTTTGAGACCGCATGCATGAACCCTTAAGCGGATCATATGATATGTGCTTGGCAATTTGTGTAAGCCGCACACGCACAGATATGTATCTATTAATGATGGCAAAACTCTTGACAAGTCAGAGGATACAAAGGGTGCAGAAGTATTTAAATACATGCACGAATTATGGAAGCAACAATATGCCAAGGGATTGAGTTCAGAACTTTGGCTAGGGTGTTCATTCTATTACCACACACCAAAAAAAAAAAAAAACAGAGATTACAGAGAAACAGATATATAGCAACCGACATATCCGTTGCTAAAACTAATATTTTCATTACTATTTAAGTATAACGACATAACAGCGACAGAAATAAATCATCGATAAATTTTTGTTGCTAAGTTTGTTAGTGATGGATTAACTAGTCCCTTGCTAACCATCACTAACTAATGACTAACATTTTGTCGCTATTTCGAGGTATTTCTGTTGTTATTTCGTTTTAAATAATCGTAAGAATTGTTTAACTTCCGTCGCTATATAGAGATGGAAATCCGTTGTTAAATTTTGTTACTAATTTTAGTCGTTATCCGTCGTTGACATCCATCATTAATTGTCATCACTAAATTAAGGTTTTTTTTAATTGTTAATAGGCTTTTATATGTTTCGTCATATTAGTCAACAACTAAAATTAAAATCAAAATACAAAATATTATTAAATAAGATTATATGAATATAAAATTAAATATCATATATGTAACAATACGATTCGGTGTACGAACACATAAAAAAAATTAAAGAAAACTAGTCATCATCAAGATCATTTGTTACTTCATCTTCGGGATGTTGGGTATCGCAAGAAGAATTAAACTCCTAGGTAGAGGGAGAGGGAGAATTAAAAGGAGGGATGCGACCGTTGAATGTTTTCTCTAAAATATGCTCTATCCGTTATTGCATACACTAGCTATCATAATTGTATTTGTTCTTCAGCTCCTCAATCCGTCAAACATAGTTACGCTCTATATCCTCCTACTTTTATTTGACCTAGTCATTATCCTACCGCATATGACAAAGGAATGGTGATGTGATAAAGGTTGAGTTGGCGACAAAACGAGAGTAAAACATAAATGTCTATATTCTAAGGTCGTACACTCTACTTTTCTTCTCCCCTCATACGACCTCAAGATATATTCGTGATATGTCGATGTCTATAGACAATAAAGCACGCTCGATTGCTTCGGGTAGCAGTCGACACATGTAATTGGTCCACACGCTCCTACACAATTGAAAAAATTATAATATTAAATTATAAATATATAATTTTTTTTAATAAATTTGCATTTGTATAATTAAATTTACTCCAAATATCTAGGATTGCAGCTTAAACAAATGACTCATCCTAACGCTTGTAAGTCCTCACAAACAACTCATAAGAATTTGGATAACAAACTAACTCCTTAGCTTGAAAAAAAATAGAAATAAACAATATGAGATGCAAGAAATGATCAAATATTAATTTATAATACAATCGATAATAGGATTTATCATTCGTCGAAGGTGCTCAATCCGTGAGATGGAGCCTCCCGTATGTCTAAATAGCCCAGCACCAATGCCACATGTCTCATTCCTATGGTTCTATACTGCCTATACAAAATAGTCCTAAAAATCTAGTGTTTTCTAATCGTACAACCATGTATACCACACTAGTGATGGGACATACTAGGGTTTTTTGGTCTTTTTTTTATAGCTGGTCGACATCGCAACATACCGCTTGCATGCTAGATGCTCAAATCCCATCTTAACTATGGAGTTGACGGTTTCATCCCATAAAAAATGCTTCTATAAGGAAGAAGAAAATTAATATCGATACGTTTCATGTTGCCAATTTAAATGTAATTATAAAAAATTAAATAAAATACTATTTTAAACTCATCTTAGTAGAAATCTTTTATCTTTTTTGAGATTGACTTCCACGTCGAGCCAAAAGGATCGAAATGCTCAATGAAAATTCAAGTGATTTGAGTAGCACATTTATTAGATGGAAATAAACTATCGAACACGACGAATAGAAAATCAGTCATTTAATAAATATTTTAAATAATATATCAAAATATAAAACTAATTATCATATTTAAACACAAAGAAAATTCTATTCACA